ATTAAGTTTTACACGACAATCTAAGGTGCCACTAACAACAAAACCTCTAATAAATCAAGCATTCAACAAACACACAGTAGAATTATCAACACTTATAACACTTGTCATCGCACACTCACCTTCACTTAGGTTATCATTGTGGCGGTATCAATCTTATTTCAATTAAATAAAATAACATAACTTAGACATTTAGTCTCAAGTTCAAAATTATATAATCTTCTATCAAAATATTGAGTTATCATGTTTAACTCTAAAAAAATTCAACATAAATCGAATAAAGCAATTAAGTTCCAACAAAAGATAATAAGCAAACAAACATTCCCAACCCCGATGTTACAGGATTAATGTAAGACTTCAAAACAACAATGAAACTAAACAAAGTAACTCCATGATCTAACTTCCACTTACAACATCCAACTTTACTTCTAAGTATCTGCAAGATGAAGGGGGTGAGAAACAAAAAACCAATATAAATAGTGTAAAGAATGCTAAGGTAAAGAACATACAATAAACACATATTCATACCACAATCAACAACAATATAGTCTCACGCCTTTCATAATAACATGTACATATTCACAACCAATCAACAACATCATGAACAATCAACTACATATGCAAACACGTATGTAATGTACTTCACCACTTACTCATTATGCATGTGGTACCTCACCATAGGACTAGAGTAAACCAAATTATTATCATCACATAGGTAACGTTTCACCGATCCCCACCTAGAGCCGACTCGTAGGACCAGAGCACACCAGAACTGGACCGAAGTTTGTACACCATAATGCACGACTCTCAACAACATGCATTTTTACCAAAAGGTTCGCCAAAAGAATCATTATGCACACCTTACCACTTATGCATAATATCATTCATCATACACAACAATTAATCAATGTTATGACACCAACAAACAATAATAAACAACAGGAACTCAACAAATGTAACTTCATAAGCATTCATTCATGTTACTTCACTAAAACAACAACACATCATCGTATAAACATAATGATTCGCTAACCGATCATACAAGTCAGCACAAAGATTTTCACAATAGAAACATGATTATAATTAAAAAAAATTACTAAGCACTATCATTAGGTAGCTCTGCGCGTTCGCTTTCCAACGCTTCGAGTGACACATCATTTAGACTTACGGAACAAAAATTATGATAAAAACAGTATTTTGACTCAATTTGCCTTTCTGATTTGAATCAAGTGTAAAGTATGATTCGAATCAAAGTAGGCAATGGCTACATAGAAGTCTGTGATTTGAATCAAAATCACAGTGTAAATCTTTGATTCAAATCATATCAGTCAGCAGCGTTTTTCTGCTAATTTTTCACCATTAGAGGCCTTCCAAACCTCCGATTTCGATTCTGTAAAAAGGAAAACGCTTAGGATAATTCATACATCAATCATATTACATAAAACATGATAATTTCCCCTAGACTAACTAATCGGTAAATTAGCAAATGTATTAATCTGCCATTATAGTAATAAAAGAGAAAATTCTCAATATCGATCTCAAGGACTACTTGACGATAAAGAGTTTTGGTTATACTTTAGTTAAACAAAAATTTTGGAAATTTTAGATTGATTTATTAAATTATAAAAGTGATTGCGAACAAAATAATACTAGAGAAAGTGCATGATTTAATTATGTAACAATTGCGAACTAACATTGCAACAATATATTTTAAATAATTAATTATCAATTTTTAAAAAGGTTTACTTCTAAATCTTTAATGAAAAAACCTTTAATTATTCAAACTAAAATAGAGAAGTCCCGATAAAATTAAGCATTAATTTATCAAATAAAACTGTAGGTAAACCCTATACAATAACGGGTGTGAATTCAAAAATTGAAAAACAATCCAACCATACATTGATACACAACCTTAGACTAGAAGTTCCTATCGCATAATAATGTGTGGTTAACTGCAAACAAAAATACTAAAAAAAAAAACAGTGTCTTCAAGTTCGAACAAATAATAACCACTTGGCAATAACCAAGCCATTGAGTTTAGCATTTTTTTTTTGTAAGCAAGCTTATTCTATTTTTTGTTTTATTTTTTCTCCATAATTTAAAAACAAGTTGCAGATGATGGATAAGCTTTAGAAATTTCCACTTTATATATATATATATATATATATATATGATTGAATTAAAAATGGTTAATTAATAGTAATATAAAGTAGGTTATATAAAAAATATAATAAAAATAATCGTGAATAACAAGAATCGTAATGCAATGACCCTACAGCTGCAGTTCCGGCCCCTATGTCCCCAATCGTCGTCCTACATATTGCTGCGTCAGCTACAATCCATTCGCCACATATTTATCCATAACATTATTTTTTTTAATAATATTCCTTCTATATTATTTTGTGTATCAAAAAAAGTTATGTATATTATTTTCTCCAAGTCAAGAAATTAAATATGAAAAAATTTCAGTTTTTCTAATTATATAATCTTGAATCAATTTTAATACAACTCATTCATACAAATTAATTCTCTTATTTAAATTTCAATATTTTTGTATTTAACATAATTTCTGTAACGAAATATAAATAAAAAAACTTATTTTTGTTATCATAAATTATAAGAAAAAAACTTATTTTATTTTAAAATTTTATATTTTTAAATGAAATAGAATATAAATTGAATTCAATTAACTTTTCTTTCTTTCAGTCTTTTTATATAATTAACTATTGATTAAAATTGTCTTTATATATTTTCATAAAGTTTATTTTAAAAAACAGAATCTAAACTATTATGATTTTTTAATAAGTGTTTTTTGTATAATTTTTTTAGTGACATATCACTTTTATGATTTATGTTTCAGATTTCATAAAAAAAGAAGTCATAATTGTTAAATACAAAAATATATAAAATAGTCAAAATTATTAAAATTTTAAATATAAAAATTAATTATTTTAATAAGTTACAATATGAGACAAAAAATTATAATTTACTTAAATTATATCATAAATACACCTTTAAAATTTTAGTAACAATAATATTAAATAAATAAAAAAGAAATTACATAAATTTATTTATTGAAAGTTCTGCTTGAAAATAAGATAAAGTTTATTATTTCTATTTACTCTTTTTATTATAAATTATATATTATTTTAATAAAATATATTTTAAAATGATATATAATTTTACAATATTAACAAAATACTAATATTTTATATAATTTATCTTTCATTAACAAAATACTAATATTATTAAATTTGTGTGGGAGAAAGAGTCAATTGGAGAGTGCATTTAGTGTCTCAAATCTATTGTTTTGTTGGAGGAGGTGGACGACACTTGAGTTTTGAGATTACATTTTTCTTCTCGTTATAAGGTGAGTAGTGCAGACCATTTTTGTGATGGCGCCCAATGAATTACGACATTCTAGTGATAATCATGAGTGGTGGTCAAAGGTGGTACCTTTAAAGGTTAATATTTTCGTATAGAGGTTATATCTCAATAGACTTCTGACAAATGACAACTTGTTTAAGCGACAAATTCTTTCAGCTATTGAACAGAATTGTCAAGCATGTTGTGAACGGTGTGAGAACATGGACCATTTATTTGTTCGGTGTGGTTATTATGGTCGAATTTAACCAGTTATTATAGGTTGGTTAGGATTCTTTCCAGCTTGTCATGGCCACACTCGGGGACATCATGATCACTTTGTGACCTTGGGTGGATGGTCAAAGTCTGACTGTATAGCTTTTCACATTATTTGACGGACAGTTGTGTGGATCTTTTGAAAAGAGCGGAAGCAACTGATTTTTCAGAGTAGTAATGATACTTTAATCTCTATCACTGAAAAGGTCAAACTTCAATCTTCCGGGGGTTAAAATCGTATTTCAAACCGTTTGTTTTCGATTATCAATTGTGGAGGTTACAACCCATGCAGCGCATTGCAGCAAGTTTCTTATAGGTTTTTGTTTGTTTGTTTTTGTTGATTTATTGTGTAACTTTTTTCTATGAATTATATCTTTACTCTTATAATCTTCTGACTACGCTTTATGTTGGAAGGGCTCTTTGGTGGGTAACATATGATTTTGGTTTCTTAAAAAAAAAAAAATACTTCCATATAAATTTATAGTTATTCTTCAAACAACAATGACTATATTTAATTTGTATGCAATTGACAAAAAAAAAACATATAATTTGAAACCAATGGAATATTATTTTAAAATTATTATCAATATGAAAAAATTAATAAGTTTACTATTATTAGTAAGACTTATTTTTTTAATAATATATTTAACTTCCCAATTATATATATATAATAAACAATTAAATTATATATATATATATATATATATATATATATATATATATATATATATATATATATATATATATATATATATATATATATATATATATATATATATATATATATATATATATATATATATATATATATATATATATATATATATATATATATATATATATATATATATATATATATATATATATATATATATATATATATATATATATATATATATATATATATATATATATATATATATATATGTTCTTTTTTTTTCTTTTTTTTTTCTTTACATTTACTTAGTTTCTCTTGAAACTGATGTGTTTATTGTTCTTCTTCCTCTGCCATTCATAAAACTCTGTCCAAAACCGAAACCACCGCTTCACTCTTTTATCTTTTTCCAATCTTATCCAAATTCTTCTCAAACCTTCACTTTCTTCTTCTTCTTCTTCGTTTTTCTTCCACCGACCAACCAAAGAATCTCCAGTTTCTGTATCAAAATGAAACTAATCATGAACCAAACTATTCAATCTTCATCGCTTTTCTGTATTCAAATATAGATTCTTTCAGACTTATCAATCCATCCCTTTCAATCCCATTTTCATAACAATCTCTTGATTTTCTCAATTTTTCTTCCTGTGTTGTTGTTTCTTACAAGATAGTGAAAAAGACTGTTACTTTTTCATAGGGTTGATCAGAAATGGTGTCAGCTAACGACCCAGTTGAGTCTTTCTTCAATTCCATTCATGTTTTGAAGGAATCGCTGTCACCACTTGAAGTGGGTTTTCGAAAGGCGGCCAAGGATTTTGAGCATCGTTTTGCAGGTGCAAAGAACAGTAGGAATGGTGTTTGTTTAATTGCCCAAGTGAGAGATGGTGGTGAATTTCAGATCTGTGATGTCAAGAAGAAAAAAGGGCTGTCTATGAAGGTTCCTGTGAAGGCTTTTTTGGGTATATTTTCACAGAATTCAGGGAATGTAAATAAAACTCAGGTTGTTAAGGAAAATGATTCTTCTTGCATCAATTGCTTGCAGTTTTCTGTGACTTGGTCTTTGTTGGTTAATGGGTTTATTCAGTCTTTGCCGATTCCTTTTAAAAATGGGAAGAAGAGGTTGCAGAAAGTGTGTGATGAGGATACTAATAAGGAAAAGTATTCATGCATGAAGCAAACTTTTTCATCATGTGAAGTGAAGCATAATGAGTCTAAGGGTCAGTTTGTTAGAACAGGTAAGGAAAAGGTTGTGAAGAGGAAAGATGAAAAACATGTTTCGCTTGAATGTTTTATAGGTTTTATCTTTGATCAGTTATCTCATACACTTCAAAGTCTTGAACATGGAATAAATGGAATGCAAGAGAAAAATGAAGCTGAGTGTGGAAAAACTTTGTTGCATTCAGCTCCTTTTGATCACGTGAATGCATTCACTAGCTTCTTGGAAGAGCACAAGGTAAATGTGAATGGTTTCTTAGGGAATTTGAATTTTGCGAAGGTAGGTGGTGTGCCAACAAGTGCAGGTGGAGAAGAAATCACTTCACAAAATGAAATGGGAGAGGTCACTAATGATGAAAATAAGGAAGAAAGTGTGGGGAATTTGGCGCAGAAGGTTGCCTCGAACATATTCAGCATTCCCTTAACAAATGTAGAGCGTCTAAAGACTACACTTTCCACGGTTTCATTGACAGAATTGATTGAACTGCTACCGCAGCTTGGGAAAGCATCGAAAGACCATCCTGATAAGAAGAGGCTATTCTCTGTACAAGATTTCTTTAGATACACAGAGTCCGAAGGTTTGACATCTTACATATGCTAGCAATGAAGTTTTAATTTTTTCTTGCAACTTAGGTTACTGTTTAGTATAGCATAGAACCCTTTGATTATGGTAGAATATTATTATTTAAAATTGTGGATAGGATTAGGATGTAATATGTAGTATGGATGTGGAACTGTTATATAGCACGAAGCTGAATGCCAGGTAGTAAAAGTTCAATCAGAAAATAAGGTTTGTGATGGAGAGATGATAGATAGGTTTGTAGAAATTCAAGCAAAGATAAAGTTAGGAATGGATATGAAACCTATTGTACAAGGTGATATGATATAATCTCATATTCTTAGGTGGTATGGAGTTTGGACATGTGTGGAAAAGACCTACAAAAGACTGGTAAGAAATAGAAGATTGGCTAAGGAATAGTTAATTAGTTAGTTATAGCGAAAAATCAGGAAAAACTATAAGGCAAATTATTGAAAAAGATTTGGAGTTAAATGATCTATCATTAGACATAATTTATGATAGGATATTATGGCGTTATTTGATTGACATGGCCAACCCTGTATAGTGGGAAGAGACTTCATTGTCGTTTTCAGAAGTTCAACAAGACGTCCAATAGGGTAAGATGTTTTCGAATACTAATCCAATGAGCCAGGCTGGAATCTGTATCAGCAAATGCAAAAACGTTTATGCACATTTTATAGTTTTAAAGGATCTAATGTATGAGTGTGATCCATATGATTATATTAAGTGTGTATTAGTTAATAATTGATGTATTTATTGGGGAGTTAAAAAGTAATGAGTTAATATTAATTAGGTTAGTTTAATGAATCTTCTTAATTCAGGGTTCTAATGCCCTGAGAACATAATTTTGTTTTGTGGAGTGTGGTTTGGAAATGTCAATGAGCAAACAGAAAAGTTACTCATTCTTGGACACTGGATCTGCCTCTTAAAACTAAGTAAGATATGAGAGAAATAGTTATATATTTTACCTTTTCATGTAGAAAGGAAGACAGAAGTTAAAGTGGCCTTTTCCCAATCATCAAATGACTGGTACATACTAATGATTTTGTTGGTCTTGACAGTTTTCAAACGAATTCTTGATGTTTTTAGTGTGATTTTTTTTTTGTCTGAGCTACTATACATTTCAAGTAGAAAAAGAACAAGGAAAACAAAAGAAAACATGCAATTACAATTATTGTTTTATGGATTAGTGTCTCGGAATTATGACACCCAATATCTGAATGATCAAATTTGCAGTTAGTAATCAGCAATCATTTCGGACTATTCAACCAAAAAATCTCTAATCTTTTTCAGGTGACATTTGTAATTAGTATTGCAGTTTTAATCTTGTAGGATTTTTGCATCCTGGTCTCTTTCGACCTACTTGGAATTTATGTTATGCTAGGTATTAGTTGTAAGGTATATTTTTGCCGATCTGTTTCCGATTCCCCGTTTATTTGTTGTGTACATTTTTATTTGTTTTTTGGAATGACACGCTGAGACTTCTTTTTCATTTGCATTATCATCATACAGGGAGGAGGTTCTTTGAGGAGTTGGATAGAGACGGTGATGGCCAAGTAACTTTAGAAGATCTAGAAATTGCAATGAGAAGGAGAAAGCTTCCTCGTAGATATGCTAAAGAATTCATGAGCCGAACAAGAAGTCACTTATTTTCTAGGTCTTTTGGTTGGAAACAATTCTTATCATTCATGGAACAAAAGGAGCCAACAATTCTTCGTGCATACACTTCTTTGTGTTTATCCAAGTCAGGGACGTTGAAGAAAAGTGAAATATTGGAGTCACTAAAGAATTCAGGACTGCCTGCAAACGAAGACAATGCTGTTGCAATGATGCGATTTCTAAATGCTGACACAGAAGAATCTATTTCATATGGACATTTCCGAAATTTCATGCTTCTGCTTCCCTCAGATCGTCTTCAAGAGGATCCTAGGTAAGATTAAGTGGAATATTACCATGTGATTGGTTTTCTTTCTTTGACATCCTTGTTTTGATCATGGGATTGTTTTTCCGTTAAATCACATTCAATACAAATGAAATTATTGAACATGATTATATTATGAAGACGTGTTACTGTCAGTAGTACTTCAATTAATTTCCATATCGGCTTAACATCCACCACCAGCAATGAGTAAGATTCATTCTTCATTGATATTGATAACTGTTCTTAATATGATTCAGGAGTATTTGGTTTGAAGCTGCAACTGTAGTTGCTGTTCCACCATCCGTCGAAATTCCTGCTGGAAGTGTTCTAAGATCTGCATTGGCAGGTGGCCTTTCTTGTGCCCTGTCTTGTGCATTATTGCATCCTGTTGATTCAATCAAGGTATTATTTAAACATAAGGATTTCTCTAGTTACCGATATCATGATTTTTGCATCATCTTTCTCTTATTTGTTGTGTTATGTTAGACTCGAGTACAAGCATCAACCATGTCCTTCCCTGAAATAATTGCTAAGCTGCCAGAGATCGGGACACGTGGTTTATACAGGGGTTCAATACCTGCAATTCTTGGACAGTTTTCAAGGTTGCTTTTAAATCTCCCTGTTTCTTCTCTGCTACTTTCATTTATCATGACAATATGAGCTTCAGTAGTACTTTATCCTCTCAATCATTGAGTAGTGCAATTTTCCTTTCAATCTCATTCTAGCTTTTGTAAATGTAGCCACGGCCTGCGAACTGGGATATTTGAAGCAAGTAAGTTGCTGTTGATAAATGTTGCTCCAAACTTACATGAACTCCAGGTAATTTGTACACTCTATTTCCTATTATTTATATTTTAGGCCAAAATTTGGACCAAATATATCCTAAAAGGGTTTTGCTAAGATGTGCCTTTGTAATTAAGAATGAATTAAAATGAAGAGTAATATATATTACTATATAATATCCTTATTAAAATGATGCAAATGCTTTCAACGGACGTGCTTATACTTGATAGATTAACACACTTGAAAATTCACTCCTTTCACTTGTAAAAATATCCATTGTATACACATTGTATGAATATCCATGGTTGTATAGTTAAGATTTTTTCCCTTTCACTTGTAAAAATATCCTCTCACTAGATGCATAATTTGTGGTTGACAATAGGTTCATTATATTGTTTGAAAGGGTCTGGTTTATCAGTACTTTTCTGAAGTTTTTAAGGCTCACAGATTAGTACTTCTGTAGGTACAATCCATAGCATCTTTCTGCAGCACGTTTTTGGGCACAGCTGTGCGAATCCCCTGCGAAGTGTTAAAGCAGAGATTGCAGGCTGGTATTTTCAATAATGTGGGCGAGGCTTTGGTTGGGACTTGGCAGCAAGATGGTCTTAAAGGTTTTTTCCGTGGAACCGGAGCCACACTTTGTCGAGAGGTTCCATTTTATGTTGCTGGCATGGGACTTTACGCCGAATCTAAAAAGGTGCATAAATTTTGTGATCCCTTGTGTTTCTTGGTTTTGGATTTGTCGATAGAAATTTCTAAGTTAAGCATTATAAATTCTTTGAAACTCATTCATCACTCTCTAAAATGGTGTATTGTCATGAATGTTACAGGGTGTCGAAAAGCTACTAGGACGGGAACTCGAGGCGTGGGAAACAATTGCAGTTGGAGCTTTATCTGGTGGCTTGGCAGCCGTTGTTACAACTCCATTTGATGTGATGAAAACTAGAATGATGACCGCCCAAGGTCAGTCTGTGTCAATGACCATAGTAGCCCTCACTATACTCCGGCATGAGGGACCTCTTGGCTTGTTCAAAGGAGCAGTTCCTAGGTTCTTTTGGATTGCTCCTTTAGGTGCTATGAACTTTGCAGGTTATGAGTTAGCAAGGAAAGCCATGAATAAAAATGAAGAGGCTAAGACTGGAAATTTAGAGTAATGTGTCACACAGAATCCCATGGAATTTTTGAGTTTCTATCAGTGAGGTCATTGATGCTGGCTTCTCTGAAATACACATTTTGTTTCCTTTTGTTTATTTTATACTTTCTGACCTTTTGTAGCAGCAGGTTTTCTCTGTTGAAAGAAATATATTCATGTACTACTTCTTTGCAAACTAAAAAGGTTCAATTTATTTTCTTCATATGATGTACATATTTTATTAATCTTGTGTATTTTTCAGCCTTTACCATTTTGTTTCTTGGTTCATTTAATTGTACATATTTTATATACATGATGATTAGACAATTTCTATTGCAAACTCATCAATGCAATCGACTCAACTTTATATGGAAGTATTATTAGTTATTGTACTCGATAATAATAACCAATACTTGAATAGTTCAACGCACTCTATGAAAAAGACAATTCGTGAAGAGTCTTGTTATAGATGACCTTGTAGTTGTCTGGGTGGATCATATTTTATGGCGATCTAGACAACTCCAGGGGGTTGTCTCCCTGATGCTCAACTTTTTACCATTTAGACGACTCTTGGCGAGAATTTATGACCTGATGCTCAACTTTTTACCATTTAGACGACTCTTGGCGAGAATTTATGACCGGAGATTCGTTCAGAAGTTGAACTACCTCCTTCTCATTAGGTGTGAGGTAATCAGTGATTGCCACTGGATTATCAATCCAAATTAAAAGAAAGCGAGGGGGCTCCATTTGTCCCTGTCATGACCATTGAGGCGCCATCTCGCCTCCTAATTCTCACGAACTTGTCTTTTTAATTTTGTAATGATTATAATAAGATTTGAGCATTGTTCTTCCAGTAAAAACGCTTAAGCTCATCTATCCACCTTTAAAACTCGTCTTACGCTTAAGCTCATCTATCCATCTTTAAAACTCGTCTTGGTACACCATAAAAAGAGAAAATCATCCATGTGGTAAGATGAACTTTCCGCCGCTGGCATATCATTCAAAACGCCATTGATCAAGCTCCAACCGTTGCAAAATTTGGGAGGGGCAACATTGACCACCTTTAAAACCTCCGCCTCAAATGGGGAGAAGGGAACTTAACCCTCTCTACCTTAGAGCACCCATTCACGACAACTTCTTCCTCATCGCCTAAAGAGGAGAGGTTGACATGTTTTTGAAAGGAAGTTATCCTCTCTCACTAGTATAATAGGTCTCGTAATTCTCGACGCCTTTGTGTTCAAGATCAGAGATCACCATTAAATTCATGCTTCTTGAAAAAACAAAAGGAAAAATGAGTCATTATTGCTACCATCAGTATCACTGCTATTGGAACTAGTGAAACTCTCACAACTACAAAACATGTCTGACTCCACCATTTTGTAGAACAATCGTCCCATTAGAATGTTTGACGTTCTTATAATAGTGATTTAACAAATCCACACACTCATTGGGATTAGAAGGCTTCAGTAGGTTGTCATTCTTATTTAAATACCTAATTATCACAATAAATGGGAAAAAGAAGAAGAAATGATAACATACTTATACCTGCAAATTAGGGGCGGTGCTGATAACTTGAGCTTGAGAAATCTAGAAGTAAAATACACTCTTGAGGGATTCTAAGAGAGCTCTCAAGAACTTTAAAGATGAGGATATGCAAAAAGTTAAAAAGGTTAGGGATGAACCCCTTTTATATGGATTTAAAGCATAGTCGTAGGCTAACCAAGGGTCTATCTATAGGTTCCCCAAAAATTATAAAAGATTCCTCATGTTTTGGACACGTGAGAGGGATTAAGGTCACTTTGGCTTTCTATGGATAAATTATCGTCGATCACCTTTAATGTTGCGCGTACACTTCATCTGATGTTTGAAGGATTTTATATTAACTGACGTTGGAGGATTTAATTCATTGACATTTGAAGGCTTACCTCAGGTACACCTGAGGGATGCACCCCAGGTACACTTGAGGGACTCGTCCAAACCACACCTGAGGGATTCACCCTAAGTATACCTGAGAAACTCACCTCATGTACATCTTGGGGGACTCACCCACACCATAATTAAGGGACTTATTCCAATGAGAGGAGGAAGTTGAGCTAAATCACTTATCCATTTTCAAGCCCTTGTGCTTGAGGGACTTTGTATTGGTATATTCGCAAAGGACCCATATAGGTGGTATATGGATTCTCCAAAGACATGCGATGTAATACATCGTCCATTCTAGCTTCCTAGTCACCCATTTATTGGAGCATCTACCCTTTATTCGTAATGGTTGCTCGTTGATTGGATTACTCGCTCGTTTATAGAAATGATAGAGATGACATGTCTTTATCCATAACGACGTGGGAAAGGAAGTCAAAGGGGAAGTCATGTTCTCTAGTATAATAGAGGAAAATAACTATCAGTTACATGCGCCCCTAAGAGAGGATATGGTTGTTATTGTGTTATTGGAGCCTAAGATCCAAGTCTAATAGACTCCTATAAATACGCTAACCATAAGGTTGATGGAGACATTTAACTCACTCGTAAAACACTAGTATACAGAGTTTCTCACTATCTTTGTGTGAGTTTTGTTCTCAAACAATCATATGCGGTTAGGGGTTGTCAGATATTGTACTTTTAAAAAACATTTCATCCGATCACTATTATAAACAAAAAATAACCTTAAATCTTGGTCAATATTATAAGCAAAAGCCATAAAATTTTTAACTAATTAATATTTATATTAATATTATACTCTCATTAAATTCAAAAATATTTTGATTCTTTAAATATTAGTCTCCCTGTTACAAAATCTGCGACTATGGTCTCTTAAATTAGAAGCATTTTGAATTTATTTGATCCCCATTCAATTTTGATGATGTCTCGTACTTTTTAATGAGAGGACAATAATCTATATATGCGATGTCATCAAATGTTATTATTTTAATATCAAATTGAATAATTTAATTTATAAAATATATAAATCATTGTTTAATTAAATATAAATATATATTAATTGTTAAAAAATTATGGATTATAATTCCAAACTAAAAGATCCATTTTTTATAATTAATTTTTATTTCTTATAATTTTTAATTCTTAAGAATTTTAATTTTGATTACCATCCAGATTTTTCTAAGAACCAAGTTATAATCTTTATTAATATTAAAATAATCTTTTGCTTTTAAATTTCTTGCTTTAAAGAACCAAATTTTTAATATTTACTAATATTATAATTATTTGCTTTTAATTTTGGTAGATCTAGAAAGTTTTCTTTTCCTTTTTTTATGAATGTTTCTTTCCCTTTTCCAAAAACATGCAATTCTTCTTCTTAGACAAAGGTTTCACCTTCTTCCTCACTCATTTACATCTTACATCCATTTTAATTTGTTGTAGAAAGAGTTATAAAAATCAATATTGGTTTTTTTTCATCCATTCTTTTGTGAAGTTTTCTGGATTCTTTTTTCATATCTAATTTTAAAATCTCATATGTTTGATTCAAATGACTAAGAATTGATGTTTTTTTTTTCTTTCTGGGTCCTTTTTCTAAATCTAATTTCAAAATCTCATTTGCAGAAAACAAAATTTTAATTGGCCAAGGTCTCACACACAATAATCAATTTGGATTTTCTAGATTTCATATAATTTTATATTTGATTTTATGAATATGGAAAATAATCAATCAGAGTTTTCTGGATTTCATATAATTTCCTATTTGATTTTATGAATATGGAACGGGTGTGAATACGTGTGGATTGAATGCGGAAGGTTTATGTATATGAATCAGTTTGTTGAAATAGATCTCACGAAACAATTAGGGTGATTTTTATAAATTAAATTATAGCAGTTTAATATTAAATTTAATAATATTTGGTGACATTGAAATAGATCTCACGAAACAATTAGGGTGATTTTTGTAAATTAAATTATTTAGTTTAATATTAAAATTAATAATATTTGGTGACATGGAATACACATATTACTGTTATCTCATTAAAAATTAAAAACCATGACACATCATCAAAATTGAATGAGAGACCAAATAAATATAAAATGCTTCTAACTTAAAAGACAATAATCATAACTTTTGTAATAGGGGGGACCAGTGGTTTAAAATGTCTAAACTAGATCAAAAGTGCCTTTAAACTAAAAAATTAATCGCACTTAATATAAAAGTAGTTATTTTGTTTATAATTGTGATCTAAAGGAGTATTTTATTTTATAAATCTATTTTAAAGAGAGAAAAACAAGTTTGTTAATCTTACTTTTAAAACAAATTTTAAAGATAGAAAGATGAAAAAACTTGTCTTGTAATGGATTTATTTAAAAAAAATATATTTTAAATATTAAAAAAAAAAAGCTCTAAAAGATTTATTTGCAATTTATAGATTTTGTGAAGACTGAGTGGAAATCGTTTAATGTTGAAGGGAAGAAGACATATATGATCAAAGAAAAATTTAAAATTTTGAGTGTAAGACTTAGGTGGTGGAAATGAGAAGTATTTGGTTAGATAGATTTGAAAATAGAAGATGGCGTCTCCAAACTTAATGTTATAAATGAACACCTGTTAAATTTAAACTGTGACATAACTGAAGAAGGTAAGATTTTGTTGATGAAAGCTTAAGAAGATGTACGGATAAACCAACATCAAAAGGAGAGTTTATTAAAACAAAATGCTAGACATAGATGGCTTCAAGATGAAGACCAAAACGCAAAGTATTTCCATATAATGATGAAAACTAGAACAAGAATGAACATAATAACATCAATGCCAACAAATGAATGTATGGTGGAAGGGATCATCGAGGTTAAAGAAGCTTCTAGAAAGTTTTCTGCTGAAAAATTTGTTGAACAACATAGTCATAGGCCAGGATTAGATAACATTAATTTTTTGAATTTGGATGCCATGGATAGCCTAGCTCTAGAGGAGAAATTTTCAGAAGATGAGATCACATAAGTGCTTTGGGATAATGTTAGTGATATGAGCCATGGTGACATAAACACTGTTGAGGAAAGAGACATTATAGTGCAGGCCAAAGGTGG